CATTTAGACTAACAAGATTGTTTCAATTCTTTGTGGCTGGCGCACAAGGATCTCAAAACACCATTTTTGATGCTTGGGTGCAAAGTTACTGACGATTATGGGATTATGCTTGTAAGTTGTTTTCTTTTGTATCTTGTAGAATAGCAGTGTGGGGATTATCAGACATCTATAGTATTATTATTGCTTGCTGCAGGAGATGATTGATGATATTTTAAACTAGCTTTGTCACTTGAGTACTTATGATTGGAACATAATGTTCTGGATAAACCACAAGTAGTTTTTAGCCAATTTGTTTATAAGCATGCTAGGAACTTGCCATTATTTTAAGGAGCCATAGCTGCAAATATTTTGCAATAAATTTATAAGAATTAGTTGTTGGTATCTCAAATTTACTTGAACTAGGACATTTATTTCAAATGAGAAGCAGGTAGTTCTAGAAGGGCTCAGTATTAGCATTATCTAAGTGCTACTTAGTTGGATATCCCTATTAGTATAACGATGATAATGGTAATGGCGTTGAATACTGATTTCATTTTCTAGGGGCATGGTTGCTTCTGGTTTTTCTCCCTTACTCTCACTTAGAGTTACATAAAGCAAAGTTAGATGTAATTATGCCTTGGAAGTTATATTATTTGTATTGATTCTTAATGTATTTTTTTGTTATTATTTTTTCTTGCTTATGTCTCTTCTAAATTATTATGTGTGTAGGTGACTACTGTGGGGATCAATACTGAATGGGGATTATTGATGGCCAGTATATCGGAAGGAAGTGGTGAACAAACTCCATTATAGGTTTTTTGTGGCCCATTTTATTATTGATTTGATTATGATTCCTCTAAAAAGGTGTGCTTGAATGGTGTTGCTGCTTTAACTGGCATAGTAGGTTTCTTTGTTGCCGCGTTGGTTCTTGTTGCCCTTATAATCATAAGGACAACATGAATCCAAGATATAATTTAATTTTAGATCTTGCAAACTGAAGACTTGAGATATAATTTTCTGATTCTTCACTGGTCATACAAAGAATTTTGATGGAAGTGTTCAATTTGTCAAGGGGCATACAAGTATGAAAGATGTTGTAGATGGAGCTGTTAAGATTTTGACTGTTATAGTATGTATCCATATGAAAGACTTGGATTTTGTTATTCTAGTTACTAATTAACCTGTGAATTATAAATAGGTGACTATTATGGTTGTTGTTGTACCTGAAGGTCTTCCATTGGCTGTTACATTGACGTAAGTGTTGATTGTATTCCTTTCTTGATGATATGACGTCAAGTTCTTCATGATTCTCATGGTTAATTGATTTTCCTAATTTCAGTCTTACCTACTCAATGAAGAAGATGGCAAACAAAGCATTGATATGCTTCTCTTCTTATCAAACTAGAATCCATACGTTCAACTATTAGTAAGTTGCTACGTTACAGCTTCAGAGGCTATCAGCTTGTGAAATGATTGGATCTACCACTACCATCTGCAACGATAAAATTGGAACTCTAACATTGAATCAGGTATCATTGTCTATGCTTCCATCATATTATTGTTACTATTGTATTTTAATTTACCTTTGGATTTTAGTTTTAGAAATTAGATAGTTTTACTTTTGATGATTTCTAGAGTGACACTGTTATTGGGAGTTGGGTAGATTAATCATATATGTTATCCTATTATACATGGTCATCTTAAGTTCCAATTGATTTTGTATTGTGGAAGCTCATGTGGGTGGGGTAAAGCTAACTTCTCCAAATAATGGCCAAGAGTTATTATCTTCAGTATATTCTTTATTGTATGAAAGCATTGCATAGAATGCCAGTGGTAATGTGTATGAGTCAGAGGTAACTTTTTTTTTTATTGAAGCCCTTCACCCTTGTTCAAATAGGTTGTTGAGTTAGAGATCAAATGACCTAGTTTTCTGATGGAAATTTTCATTTCTTTTCAAATAATTTGATAGTTGTTGTCTATTTCTGCTATAATGATTTCCAACTCTATTCTTCAAAGTTTTACCCCAAATTTGTTATTTTAGGGTGCTCTATTTGTGCATTTGTTATGAAAAAAACAACCGACAACATAATATAACCCGATATTTCAAATCCCATGATTTACATATACTAAAACTCTCTGATTTTACACAAAACTAAACTAGTGTGTGGTGGACAATTGCATGTTTGCTTAGCTCTGGTTAGTCTTTAAGAAAAATTCTACTTGACATAAAATAAAAAATTCTTTAAATAACATTGAAAGATTAGTAATTAGAAGATGTAAATGATGTTCGGCCAAGTCCATAACATATTGCTTCCATTCCTTTTTTAGGCAACTCCCCGTCTCGATGTTCTGGTCAGACCATCTGACTTATTAGGCTGCAGTTCTATCTTAGGATAGGCCTACTCCATAGAATAAAGCTTTTTAAAACCTTTTTTTAATTTCAAGTCATACAAATTTATATATATAACTAGCATGCATTGTATTAATAACCTACCAAAAAAATGATAATTGCATCTATTTTAGAATAATGATCTACCATTCATAGTCTGAGGCCATTTAGGAATTCTTAGTTGCCTGTCCCAAATTTTTAATTAAACAATAGCCTGCCTTAATTTGCATTTCATTTAGATTGAACATTATGGTTTTAAAATGTTAGGTGAAGTTTAACTGATAGTTCTATCTAGGCAGAATCATAAGTCCATAAGAGTCAGACTTTCTTAAATCCTTAGCATTGTAAGAGGTACAAGTCCCATTGCATTTCTAGATAAGGTTCAAGCCACTATCCTATAGTGACTCACCTTAGGTCTAGGTTATGAGGTTAATTCCAATATTATATGTCCCACTACAGGAAAAACAATGAAA